GATTGGAGAAGCCGTCTTCCTCCATCGGCCTCCACGGTTGTTGTCAGACCTGTCCCGGCTGCGGAAGCGGAGGGTGCTGTTGCCGACCCTCTCCCCCGCCTTTACCGGCCCGCTCCAATGGGACCGGGCAGGGAATCAGGATCGCCAGCAAGGGCCTACCTAGAATAGGGCATTGTTAGGCGTTGTTCATGGGGGCGGTGGAGTTGCATCAGCGCCAGAGTCTGGAGGCCGAGGGTCATCGTGGTGGTGATGATGATGATGATGCCTTTTGTGTTTCCCTGTGTTACTATATCGAAAATATCGAGCTGTACCGGCCTGATACCTCAAAGATAGACCTCCCGAGTTTTAGTTCTGTAACAGATACTCGTCGTCTCTATCTCTCCTTTAGCTAACAAAACCGAGGGTATCGCTCAGAATTGCTTATGGCCTCGCGTCATGGCTCGTATCGGCGCATGACTGAACTCAACGGGGATATCGGCGGGGTCCATGTTATGTAGCGGATAACATGAGCTAAATGATCCTCCGTCATGTCATGCTGTCCGGTGCAGCGTGTCTACAACTACATACAGTAGGTATGACAATACCGAGTACCGATACAATAATCAAAGCGTGAGGCATTCAGCCCTGATTTGTGAAGCGTGATCGTGATTACACATGTGTGTATCGTTATCCACGGAGTTGGTGAGAGACTGAGAGTTGTGATCTCTTTGGTGGACGGTGACCTTAACAAAAGACATTCAGAGCATCTGGGTCAGGGTCGGGTCTCAGAGTGGATCTCCATAGTACCATAGCAAACCCGCACAGCAAGGATCGCCCAGGCGCCTGCCCGTCGCAGTGCCTGGCGCAGTGTCAGCAGGGCCCGATGCTGTTGCCTCTAGGTTAAGAGGCCCACCCGACAAGGCGTTTGCAGCGTAACGAGGCACCCACGATCTCTTGTCGTCTCTTGACGATGGTCACGCTGGTCACGCTTTCAAATCTACGTGCCCTGTTCTCCTATCGCCAGGACACGTTCTCATTCGTACAGCGCTCACCAGATTTATGGCGGCTCCTTATCTCAGTCGGCCCAAGTGCCACTCCGCCGATGATGTACTCCAATCAAAGACTCCAATGCCCTTGTGCTGTCGGCCAGCGCAGGTCACACGGACCCGTCTCTTGATTGCTGCATCTTGGTAAAAGTCGCTCGACGATACCGACGTCAAAAGGGTAAAAGAGAGAGACATCTCCATCTTTGATACGAGAATTGTCACAATATCCCGATACATATCTCGGACAAAAGTACATATTCTTACTACCCACCGCAACGCTGCTTACTTTACTTCGTTTACTTGACTCGGGCCTTATCAATATCGCCCCTCAAAGTCCCAGATAGGAAGTTGGCGCTGAAGTAAACGGAGCAGAGCGACAGAGAGTGCTGCGGCAGTGTTTCGGACACGCGTCGACAACCCCAAGATCGACCTACCTACCTAGAACTACCTAGTCTCCCACTTCTAGCAATAAGAACTGTTACAAAGTCTTCGTTGCGTGCCATCATCGAACAGTCCTTCGCTCAGGCATCCTTCCACCGCTAGGAAAAAGAGAGCCGTATCTGAAACACGGACGGTCACCATCTTTATCTCTTTCTCCAGTCTCTGACCTTGACCTTGACTTTACCTCCGACACCACGGACTGAATTGCGCTCCAGTATCTCCACGCCGATTGTGCTCTAGACAGAGGTCTGGGCTACCATTACATCATCACCACACACACCACCTCTACTGCTTAACGACCATGTCAAATTCGGGCAAAGACTCGGGAAGGAACTCACCGGCCCCGGGCAATGTCCCCGGCCGCTCGTCTTCGCCCGGCGGTTCTTTTCGCCCCGGCTCCTTCCGTCCCAGCTCGTTTCGCGCCCGTGAGCTCGGCACGTCGATACCACGCGCTGATAGCATCGCGCGCCTCGCCACGCCCGTACTACCACAACAACAACCGTCTGGCACTCCAACACCTATTCCGATAGAGCGAGGAGATGCCGGCGCCTTACCACCACTTCCCGGCGCCGGGTCACATTCTGCTGGCCCCGGTGTTTCTGCTTTAGCCGCTGCCTTGTCCAACACCTACGGAGCCTCGCCACCTCGCTTTGGCACTCCTCCTGCGCGCGCCCTCTCCCCTGCCCCTTCGGCTGCCCAGCTCCAAAGATCCGCGACGCCCACCACGAACTACGGCTCCTTCGAGACAAGATCAAGGTTACCGTCCACCGGTATCAACGGTTTCGGAGCATACGAAGATCCTGAGATCATCAAGAGACACTTGGTCCAGCCTGGGGATGGCGCTGGGGAGGAGACAGGCGAGAGATCCAAGGGCAAGCAACCTGCCGAAGACGACGATGAGTTCTCGAGTTTGCAGTTGCAGGGTGGTGATATCACGCGCCCTATATACAGATGGGCGGAGGAGATAGAACAGCGCAACAAGGCCAAGCGCAGCCACAGTTTCAGCTACCCCAGGCCCGAACCAGAAAATGAGGTCCTAGATATCAACTCAATCAAAGTCCCTGGTGGCTTCCGGCGCAATTACCTGCGGAGAAACGCGAGAGACCCCTCGGCTCATCCTGACGACTCCGAAAACGGTGCGGGCCAGAGTGCGCCACCGCCGAGGTTACTGACGACTAGCTTCCTCGAATTCCTTTCTTTGTACGGACATTTCGCCGGTGAGGAACTCGAGGAAGACGATGAAGTGCTCAAGCCAGGCGAATACTTCACCTCCGGAAGCGACGAGGGCGAGTGGTGGAGTGACGAGGGCTCTGTTGATGATCACGAGCCCATGGAGGACAGCACACTGTTAACGCCGTCTCGACGTAAGAGGAGAAGGAAGGAGCGTGGTGGGAGTGGCCGAAATAGCCCCATGAGCGCGGCAATGCTTCTCCTCAAGTCCTTCGTTGGTACAGGTGTTCTCTTCCTCCCCAGAGCCTACCTCAACGGCGGCATGGTCTTTAGTAACGCCGTGCTCCTCTTCGTGGCGGCTCTGAGCTACTACTGCTTTGTTCTCCTCGTCTCCACTCGCCTTAAGGTGGAGGGATCCTTTGGTGACATTGGTGGTATTCTCTATGGCAAGTGGATGAGAAATCTGATTCTCTTCTCCATCGTCATCAGTCAACTGGGTTTCGTGGCAGCTTACATCGTCTTCACGTCGGAGAACTTGCAAGCATTCATCCTCGCCGTTACCAATTGCAAGACCTACATCTCCATATCATGGCTGATTGTCATGCAAATGATCATCTTCCTGCCGTTCTCGCTGCTGCGTGATATCGGCAAGTTGGGATTCACTGCGCTCATCGCCGACGCCTTCATCGTCATCGGTCTGGCCTACCTCTTTTACTACGACGTCCTGACTCTCAACACATCGGGCCTGGCCGACATCATCATGTTCAACCAGAAGGACTGGACCCTTTTCATCGGCACCGCCATTTTTACCTTTGAGGGCATCGGCCTCATCATCCCGATCCAGGAGTCCATGAGAAACCCGGAAAAGTTCCCCAAGGTGATGGCCGTCGTCATGATCATCATCACCACTTTGTTCACCGTTATGGGCGCCGTCTCCTACGCCGCCTACGGCTCCAAGACCGAGACAGTCGTGCTCCTCAACTTGCCCCAGGACAACAAAATGGTCAACGGCGTGCAGTTCCTCTACTCGCTCGCCATCCTGCTTTCAACCCCACTGCAGATCTTCCCCGCCATCAGGATCACGGAGAACGCACTCTTCACGAAGAGCGGAAAGTACAATCCGTATATCAAGTGGCAGAAGAACGTGTTCCGCTTCTTTGTCGTCGCTTTCTGCGCCATGGTTGCATGGGCGGGTGCCGATAACTTGGACAAGTTCGTTGCATTGGTCGGTAACTTTGCTTGCATCCCGTTGGTGTATATCTATCCGGTGAGTTTTGCTACGTACCCTTGCTCCTTCTTGTGTAGATGATCAATCAGACGCTAACACAGTCACAAACAGCCGATGCTACACTACAGGGGCGTCGCCAGAAGCGCTCTCTGGAAATTTTCGGATGTCGCCCTGTGCGTCTTTGGCTTCATTGCCATGGCGTACACGACTACCTTGACTGTCATGAGCTGGGCCGGCGCTGGAGAGGGCGGAGAATCGCCTGGCTATTGCGATGCTAAGGGATTGAACCCGTAAAGGCGTGCAAACGTTATTGTGTTGATCACGAAAGGAGTCATGAGTATCCTCTTGAATATATGGGACGAGCGTTGGGGTTCATCAAGAAAAAAAAAACGGATCCGACGATACGATTATGGTTGTATAGAATGAAGGGAAATCATGGGATAGGGGTCGACATGATGAGGGCAAGACATATGGGTTATGACTAGATGATTGTGGGATGGACTACACTGTAGACTTGATGGGAGTGAGCAATCTGTTGCCGAGAAGCATGTCTAGAGTTTGTATTGCATCGTGGTGGAAGCGTTTCCCTGTTTGTTTGAAGAAGCTCGTTACCATAACGATGGAACGAGAATAGTTTGACTTTTGAATAAATTGGATTAGTCTGGCTTTTTCCCCATCGTACGTCTATGGTGCCGATGCCATTTTACTGTTGTTTTGACGTGTTATTACTGGGTTTATTCTCCCTAGCAGTCTCTACAAATTCTGACTCTTTGGAAAGCGGCCTTTCTCTCCCATTGCAAACAGTGTTCGAGCGAACACGGTGGTAGCTACGATGACTTTCCACATACCGGTTTACTCTTTGCATATGACCAACCTCATTTTATGGTTGGAAAGAGTTCTCCTTAGTATGTCGCCGTCGTCTGCTTCGCCAACAAGCAAGCTCACTGCTTTCTTTCCTTTTTGAACCCTAACCCTCCCTTGCAAGCATGTAGTGTATGCAGCCCAGCGGACCGAGTCATCCAAAAGCGGGATGGCGCTGGAATAACTGAGCGCACAGACCACACGTACCTCGATCCGGGGTTCAGTGCTCCAACTGCGTTGCCTCCATCTCACAGTGGATGCGCAACCTGGACGACCTCGAAGACATCGATCAAGTGCGTTCACTTGTGTTAAAACATCCCACCCCCTTCACTCAAATCAAAACCTTCACCAGCTGACGAGCAGTATCAAAACTTGAGCGACTGAAACCTTCGGTAGTCTGTCCCATTCACGCTCCAATTTTTGGTATCGAAATTCCTACGTTCCCCCGGTCCCGCCACAAGACTAGCGAACCTACATAATTGCTACATCAACCACTCGACGTTCTTGAGCAATTGACATCGTCACCCCCCGGTCTCAATCTCAACACCACATCGCGAATTCACGATATCGGGCGACGACGACGACAATAGTTTATACACCACCGATAGCCAACAACGAGCTCTACGTCAAATCGTTAGCCAATCGCCAAAATGAACGCCCCTGATAGGTTAGTAGATTCTTCTCTTTTTGCTGGTTTCTTTTCACATGGATGAATGAACCCCCCTCCTCCTTCTGGTCTGGACGACGCGCCTTACGCAAATGCCGGAAACAATCGACCTGGATTGCTTCAAATCCTATAGGGGAGTTCGGAAAGGAGCCAAACGACTGTATCCAGACTCATTATGCCATGCCGATGTCGACTGGAACCGCAATACCAACTCAATTCAGTACGGCAATGGAACAAATCGATCTGGACAGACAGGCAGACACTCGGATAGTCCGCCCCAGTTGTTCGCCTTGCGTGTCTATTCTTCATGGTCTACGAGCTTGGTTGAATCTTCTTCGGTAGGCGATGTTTGTCTGGTGGCTGGTGCCAGGTGCCTATTGTTTTGACCGCGAAACAAACGGGACGGCTTTCATCTGATCATAGACCATGGACACAAATGGAAGGCAACAGGCAGGCGAGGCAGCTGGGAGAATAGCCATCTGGGAGTTGGTTGGTAACTTGTTTACCATGGATTCATTCACCTTGACCAAACTCAATCTGGAGAGTCGCTGGCTGTCAACGATATAAGAGGCGGACGACTTCCTCCTCATACACCACTTACATCCATCATCAACCCAACATCCCTTTGGACCAGCACACAGTCCACATCACGGCAAGAAGGATATTTCCATGCCCTCCTCGTCACCTGGCAACAGCAAACAGGACCAAAATCAACAAGATGAACGGAGCCAATCCCAAGCAAAACAGCGAGCCGAACCGGTCCGCCTTTTCTCTTCCCCTTTTTACTCTCATCATTACCTCACTTTCGGGTGGTAGGACCACATTACTGACATTTGCTTCCAAAAACAACCAGGTTCGAGCTCTTCCTTCTCCAGGATGGAGAGAAGAAGATTGAGGAGAAGGTTTTCACTGGTAAGTCGAGTCGATCTCCTTATCTTCTTGATGATGAGGTGATAGATGGGGAGAAGAAGACGTAGTAGAAGAAGGACATGGCAAGAAAACTGACCCCGATTTTTCTTTTTACTTGGATAGGCATGTCGAACACCTCCGACTTCAAGATTCTCAAGGAGGACCACACCCTCGGTAACCTCCTCGCCGAACATCTGAAGCAGGCCCCTCATGTCTTGATGGCAGGATACAAGAGTACGTCGTCGTACCGCCGCGTCTTCACTTTTACTTTCCTTCTCTATCCCTACTCCCACAAACACTCACCACCACCATCCATGGCGAGATAAACAGAAACTGACACCTAATTATAGTTGCCCACCCTAACGTGCCGGAACTCTTCATCCGTATCCAGACAGACGGAAGCATCACCCCGCGCGAGGCCCTCGTCGGCGCGTGCAAGCAGCTCGTGGCCATGTACGGCCAGCTGGGCCGCGAGTTCCAGAAGGAGCTTGCCCTGCGCCAGTATGCTGATCAGGGCGAGCAGGGAGGCGGCGTGAACGGTGGTGCTAATGGCGGTCATTACTGATCGATCCCGCCTTAACGGGGTTGTTCGCGGTGTTTACTTCCAACACGCCTTTACTTTACTTGACTGCCGGGGGAAGTTTACGAGGTAGTCGGATGCTGAATTGGGGGGTGGGAAAAGAGATGCGGTGGCATGGACGGTGAAAACATGATTAGCTCATTATCTTTGCTGTTTGTTGATCGGATCGGTCGTCATTCAAAAACGGCGTTTAGGGATTTTCTTTGAGGATGCTTTTCAGTCAGTCTCTTTGCAGGCGTTATGATCAAGACATGCATGGGATATGGAAAATAAGGGGCTTTGACAGATCTCTCCGTTTACTCGCTCAATGCTAGGGAAGAATGGGAACCATAGATTTGTTCAAAGTGTCTTGTGGTGAGAGTATGCGAGAAGTGGATGTTGAGTTTTCAAAGTGTTGGTCAATATGTCTTTGGGACGTCTACTTCTATTTGCTCCTATCACGAGCCCTCTATTCTATCCCAAAATCTCATTATTCGTTCACCCATAATCCATGGCTCCTCGTCTATCAAACGTGCTGCTCTTTAGTTGACCTTGGTAACGCTCAACTCGCCCTTCCCATTCTCCTCTTCAAGCTCCAACAACCCACCAGCTTCCAGTCTCTTCTTCCACTTGGTGCTCTCATACCTGGCCAGAATCATGGTCATCCTCAGTATCGCCTCACTGCTGGATTCGTGCTCCTTGACTTCAGCCGCAACAGGTGTGAACGTCCACCTTCCGAACGCCCAGTTGAGGATATACCTCGTCGTCTGCGCGTCGCTTCCAGCGTACGTAGGTGGTGCTGAGATCTTGGTATCCTCATCCGAATTCTTCAGCACCTCCCGCGCAGTTTTCGCAGAAACCGCCAACACGGCCTTGATCCTGTACACCTCCTCCTTGCTCGTATTCCTCAAGAAAGCCAACAGCTTCGCCGCATCCACCGTTGCTTCTCTGTTGCCACTCTTAAGCTCAATACTCAGCACCTCCACCTCCGTCTGATGATCATGCTTATGCTTATCGTCATGTCCACACTTGTCATCATGAACATGCCCATCCTCTTCCGTAAGACCCCTCGCCAACCCCCCATCAATCCCAAACACCACCGACATATCCACCCACCCCTTATCACTCTTCACCCACGCTGTATCCACCTCCAAATCCCCCACCCTATCCAAAACCTCATCAAATCTCCTCTCCCCCGCCCCTTCCCACTTGTTAAACACAATCAAATCCGTATACCGCGCCTGAATCCGCGCCGTATAGCTAGTATCCTCATACCCCTTCCAATTCTCCACATCAATCACGCTCACCACGCCATCCAGCACATACTGGCCCCCCGTCTCCCTCGCCAGCCGGTTGACTTCGAGCGCCAGCGTAGCAGGGAACGCAGAGCCCGAAGTCTCAATGACGATTCGGTCCGGCCGAACGGTGGACTGGAGCTCGGAAAGGGCGACCGAGAGCTGACCGACGAGGTTGCAGCAGATGCAACCGTTCAAAAGCTCGGAGACGCCGGCGATGGCCGAGGAGGAGGCGAGCTGGGAGTCGACGGCCAGATCGCCGAATTCGTTCTTGAGGAGGGCGAGGCGGTAGGAGGGGTTGGCGGCGCGGAGCTGGGGAAGGAGGTTCAGAATGAGGGTGGTTTTGCCGGAGCCGAGGAAGCCGGTTATGATGGTTATGGGGATGGGGGATGATTGGTCGCGCGTCATTGTGGTGGTTTGTTCGTGGGTTGGTTGGTTGGTTGTTGCGTGATTGTGTTGGAGGGGTAGGTTTCGTAAGTATAGGATCGAGTCTGGGACTACACTAGGGTCTAAATCGCGAAGGAAAGTTCGAGGTACGTCGATCGATCGGATGTCGGGGAGATAATTGAGAGTAGGCGACCTGTAAGTAAGGTATGTAGGAGGTCAAGACTGTCGCAAGGAATTTCGGGCAATTCAGGATTGCAGAATTGTAAAAGAGAGAAAGATCGCCAAGCTGCCCTGGTCTCTGGAGAAAAGCTTCTCGATTCCGATCCGACTTCGGGGACGTCTAACTTGGTCAAGAAGAAGGGTTCTTTGAAAGCAACGAGAGTATGTATTGTTCAAGAGGATTAGGAAAAGTGACTCTATTCAATATATAAATACTTTACAAGAAGATGGAGACAGCAATAAGAAAGTCATATGGTTCCTGGAGTTTCCAGCATCATGGTCGCCCTTGGCGTCGGATCTTGCCGCCGCTTGGAGGGGCACGACAAGGTGGCGGGGGCTCGTGGGCTCAGTGGGCTGTTCTGGGCTTCTAGCCGGTCCGATAAGATCGAGCGATAAGAGCGATAAGGACATCCTCCGTCCTCAATGGTGAATTGCGGTCGACGATGACTGGGACGTGCCATGGTACTCCTCGAACAAGATATGTATCTTCATTGCTATGAAAATGAAATCATCTGGAGCTCCTCTGCAGGAATAGAAAAAATGATTGTTTTGACCTTCAGACGACAGAAGCAAAGCGCACATTGTCTTTGTACAACGAAGGGATTTCGTGACGTCATCTCCACCTAAATAGTGACCACTTACACCTGCTTCATGTCTTAATTGAAGCCATGAAAATGCCCGTCTGAAGTTGTGTTCTCGTGTTTGAACCCTTCTCAAACTCTTTCTTGTCTGCCCTTAGTTGTCAATAATCGAAAGCTAGTACCACCGCTCTCTCTTCTCTTCCATCACCACCAACCCATCTTCCACGGCATCATCACCATGTCAACAAACCCCAACACCGTCAGCCCACCCGGGGCCGAGGGACAAGATCCCTCAGACTACAAACCCCAGCTTGATCAGATTGCGGACCAGAAAAGAAAGGGTCCCGAGGAGCAACAACAACCCCAACAAAGCGGAGGAAGCGGGATCGTCGACAAGAGTATGTCATAACCCAGTCTTCGTCGTCCAACATTCGTCTGCAACATCCCAAGCTTACCTATCCCTACTCGTGCTACAAACACAAACAGTCTCGGAATACGTCCCAGCATCAGTTAGCGAAACGATTGGACTAGGAGAGAAGCAGCAGCAGCAGCAGCAAGAAGAGATGAAGCCCAAGGAAGGAGACCTCAGCGCTGTACCACCGCACCGTCCTCATCACGATGAACAGATTCAAGAGTTCATTAGGGATCAGCATCGGAGCAAGGAGATTTTGGGTGATGATGAGGAGACAAAGGGTAATTGAAGGGTTAGGGGCTGAGGGGTGATATTTAGCAAGCGGGAGGGGGTTCGAAAGAGAGCGAGTGCGCTTTCAACAATGACCACATGTTCAAACTATCTCTACAACCGTCTCTTTAACTCTTTAAATTCTCTGAAATAACACCTTCAACAATCTTAGTAATCAGCATGGCATCCTCTACTTCGGCTTAAAGTGACAACAACATCGTCGATCTCTTCTCCTTATGTAACATCAAGGCGGCCCGCATGAGGACTGAATGACAGGTCCCGAGTCGACTCTGAGACCCCCGGGAAGCGGGAAGCGTCAACCCCGCCCCCCGCTTTCATACTAGCATCACGTCCTTGCCTGTCTCGTCCCACTCAACACCAAGTACCATACTTACACAGGGGTCTTCCGGCATCCTCCTCCATCTTCTTTCTTTCGAAATCCTATCCCAACATCACTCTCTCTGGCTTCCAAGTTTGCCTCTGATCCACTAAGTAACTGTCGATCATCAACCGGTTAACAAACTTGTTGAAGCTCAACAGAACTTTGAACATCCCGGACTTCCATCCACCTCGTCATCATTTTTGAATCATCTGCATTATCGATAGATACTATACGGAGCGTCTGCTTGACAGCTTAAATAACTGAGAACCACCACTTCATCCAACTTTGATAAAAATCCACGTCTTCACCATATTAGACATATTCTACAGTACATAGCCACCATCTTACCAACCTTACACTCTTACCCACCAAACCCATCCATCCAATATCTTACAACCAACCACCTCCAAAAATGTCCAACCGACACTTCATCAACGACCCCCAACACCTCGTCCTCACATCCCTGCAATCCACCACCCTCCTCAACCCCGGCATCGCCCTCGACGCCCACAACAAAATCGTCTACCTGCGTCCCGGCTACGGCCATGTCTCCTCCTCCTTCTCCTCCTCCAACCAAAGACAAAAAGTCTCCCTCATCTCCGGCGGCGGCTCCGGCCACGAACCTTCCTTCTCCAGCATGGTCGGCCGCGGTCTCCTCTCCGCCTGCGTAGCAGGTACCATCTTCGCTTCCCCCTCCGCCGAACAAGTCCGTACAGCGATCATGGGGCGGGTTGAAAACAACGAGCCCTCCTCCTCCTCCTCCTCCTCTCTTGAACATGGACAACAACAGGGAGGAGAGGATGCGGGCGGGGTCCTGGTGGTTGTCATGAACTACACCGGCGACGTGCTCAACTTTGGCCTAGCCGTAGAAAAAGCCAAAGCCGCAGGGGTGAACGTGGAGATGGTGGTTGTCGGGGATGATGTCGGTGTTGGACGGACTAAAGCTGGGAAAGTAGGCAGAAGAGGCATTGCGGGGACGGTGTTAGTCCAAAAGATTGCGGGAGCGCTGGCTGCGCAGGGACGGAGTCTCAAGGAGGTGACAAAGGTGGCCAATTTGGCGGCGGAGAATATCGTCAGTGTCGGCGCCAGTCTGGAGCATGTGCATGTTCCGGGGAGAAGGGCGGAGGCGGAGGGCGCCGAGTTCAAGGTGTTGAAGGAGGGCGAGGTGGAGATTGGCATGGGGATTCATAATGAGCAAGGGAGCAGTAGGGAGAAGGGGATTGGGTTGCCGGAGTTGGTGGGGAAGATGTTGAAGCAGTTGCTGGATCGGAACGATGAGGACAGGGCGTTTGTGAATGTGAATTCGAATGAGGTGGTGCTGTTGGTGAACAACCTCGGTGGTGTCAGCCCGTTGGAGATGGGCGGGATTGTCACCGAGGTGGTGACGCAGTTGGCGGAACAACCGTATGAGATCAAGCCCGTGAGGATCCTGAGCGGCACGTACATGACGAGCTTGAATGGGTTGGGATTTAGTATCTCGCTGTTGAATGTGGTTAACACGGACATTGGCGGACCGGGCATGATTGACCTGCTGGATTACCCGTCTGAGGCGACGGGTTGGACAGCGCCCATCTCCAAGCTGACTTGGGAGGAGCAGCGGGAAAACAAGAATACCCGGGAGAATGAGGTCAAGTCCGAGGAGGAGGTGAGGCCTTGTGGTCTAACGTATGATCCCCAGGAGGCGCAGAAGCAGCTGGTTGCCGGTCTGAAGGCTGTCATCGCCGCCGAACCGGATGTGACCAAGTACGACACCATGGTGGGTGATGGCGATTGTGGTATCGGTCTGAAGCGCGGCGCTGAGGGTATGTCTCCCTAGCAAGAAACCCTTTTTTCTGATGACTAACAAAATGCCAGCAATCTTGTCGCAT